CCCATAATTAAGGGTGCATATAACACACGATTGTGTATTATACGCGAATAAATAAGTCTTGTATACATTGATCAATGGAAAGAGTGCTAATCGGGATTGTTCACTAGCCAATATATTAGCAAATATCGCCGTGGGCGCTTATTAGAGCGGGGTGCTTATTAATGTCGAATACGGTATATTAATATACACAGTCAAGCTTTCGGCCTCCCAGCCTTCATAAGGCATACTCTGCTCAACCTTGAAAAAGGATCTCTGATGAAGACTGATGAAGGCCGAAAGCTTGACTGTATATGTATGTGTTTAATTGAATTCCCCCGTGGGAAAGAACAGAAAGAAGCAATATGATATAATTTTCATTAATATACTGATCAACTTGCAATGAACAACGACCTAAATCACCTCTTGCTACGATGCTTGGAGAGATTGTCCGAGATGAAGAATGTTATTACAGTAACTCTCATAGACCCGCCCTGCAAGCATGTGTCTTTCTTGACTCTGATTAGTACAGTGACGTAGGTTGCGTTTTTCATCATCATAAGTTGAGCATGTAGAGCGTAGTCTCTGATGAATGGAGTGAGTGGTTTTGTATGTCTTCCGAGTTCTTGTTCAATTCATGGTTACTTAATCTTAGTTTGTAAAAAAATGCACTTGGTATTTGTTTGTTTCCTGTACATTAACATCTTGAAGAAATTTCCTGAAGGGGAGTTGGATTTATACTTTATTGTATCTTTGAATGTTGCTGATGCGAGTGTATAGAGTATATATGGTGTACCAAGCCTAATCGTTAATTTACCATAGACGTACTTTCATTAAAAGCGCTCTGAAGCATGCTGCCTTTTGAAGAACCAACATGATGATATAAATTCATTATTCTGTTATTAATACTGTTTAGATATGGGGGATAGAGCCCTAGTCCTACTCGACTTGCCCAGCTGTGCGCTGTTTTGCTTGTTACTATGTTTTACGGAATCAGAGCTGCAGTTCCTCGGGGATGAACTGAACAACGTTTCAGTAGCAGCAGCATCGATTCTAAACCCCAGATTTCACAATTTTAAAAGATTACTGGCTCGATTAATGTTTTCAATAATTAAACAGGTATATGAAGGTTACAAATGGTAGACTGGGGCTTGTGGTGGACTCCTAGTCATTCTTCCACGAGTGAGTGAGTGAGTTTAACGCCGCTTTTACGGTATTTCAGTTATATCACGGTGTCAGCTTGATGTGGGAGGAAAGCCCGAAGTGATGCACGTCTCAGACGTTTACCACTTTGGTGAAATCCACGAGCACGGGTATGGTGCTGACAAACCTAGGAACATAATTGGGGCGAACCGGGATTCGAACCCACAATCATAGGGTTCTGGCGTGCCCAAGGGACGCAACTCTGCACAGCGAATCGCGGCGCCTTAGACGACTGGACCATCCGTGCTCCCCTTTCTTCAGAAGAGGCTTAGCACAATTTGTACCGTACAACGTTTACCGTTTGCTTCAAATGTTATACCTAAATACTTATATCTCTCCGTAACTGGTTTGTTTTGTATCACCCATGCCCAACGCATACTTTTCTTTTACTTTACATGATTTGCCAAACAGAACATTGGTTTTGTCACTGTTAATCTTTAGGTTATTTTTTTACATGAAATACTCTTAGACCATCAAGTAACATTAAGCCTTTACTTTTCTTTGTCTGTAAATAGTACCGCGTCATCAGCAAACAACAAATGTGTGTGATTGAATATGGTTTTACGCTGCTTTTAGCAATATCACAACGAGGGAAATGGGCTTCACACATTGTACCCATGTGGGGAATCGAACCCGGGCATTCGGCGAGACGTGCGAACGCATTACCCACTTGGCTATCCCATCGCCCCTTAGGTACCGAGAAGCTGTAGATATGACAGCTGATTAAATTGCAAATCATTACTACTTTATTTTTACCTGCTACACAGTCGGATTCCTCAGGGTATCACTTACAACACTCTGCATCTTATATCCGTCGTCGTGTAAACTGGTGAAAATACTTGCATAGAGTTGCGCCCCCTGGCAACCAGGATCCAGTATTCTTGGTTTCGAATCACAGATTTGCGCTGATTATGATCCTTCGTTGTTGTTTTTTGTGTGTGTTATTTCCCAGCACCATACCTGTGCTCGTAGGTTTTACCACGACGGAAATCGTTCGTCACTTAACAAAACACGAACATTGTAATCGTACTTTTCAAAATTATTGGACATTTTAACATACTCAAAGAAATAAGTCCAGATATTCGTGCTTGGCAAAACTCCTTCATCCACACAAGATCTTTCGCCATATATATAAATTTTAATTTACGTTTAATATGTAATGTTTTACCCGCTCTCTCCAATTTGTAAATTGAACATTACAGTTAATGTTATCATATGTTTGATTTTCAGTTGAAACTATCTTAAGTTAGCGATATTAGTCAGCACTCAAAGTACTCTTCTACATGTTTTTATTTCTTTTAAATACAATTTGATTTATACTATTGTTGGATGCGTCGTCAAACAACAAATACTTCTTTTTTATTGTAATTGTGTGAGTGGCGAGTGCCCTTTTCGCGAACACCTGGTGTCATCACCGAACTGAACTCGAACTTAGGACACGCACTGCAAGCATGCAGCACGGCAACTTCAAAAGCTAACGAGGGGGCACCCGTAAAGAAAATTAAGCAAGCCTTGCAAAGGCTTCGTCCTACACCACACGCCACTATTATAATGTCATATATCGCTCATTTTGATGCAAAAGATGACGACACAGTCGTATCCAGAAAAGCGCCAAACAGCAAGCGAGCTCTCTGTTGTCCTCAAAACTTGAAATACATTCTCTTTCTAGAGTTCTATTGCCACACATCCTTTGAAAATTTGCATTTTGTAGCCCGTTTGTAGATATAATTATTTAAATATGCCTAATTGCAAAGACTGTAATGTACTGTTCTAAAACAATTTGCGTCCGCGGTAATGAGACACTCAAATCGGCTGTTTCAATCAGAGGGGTTTTATTGTGAGTTGCTAAGCTCTGATTGACCAATCAAAATCGAGTATTTTCCATATGCATGGTAGAGTAGATAATTTGACGAAAAAAAGAAGTAACTGTTCAAATGTTATGAACTCTTCCAGTGTCAGCCAACCGTCACATTCATCGAAATGCATAATTGGAAGATGCGTGCGTAAAATAAGACATTCGTGTGTACTGTGGAAGTTGGCTCCGGCAAATTGGCAGTTTTATAATTCAAGTGGTTAAAACGTCAATTATCTTGTCCACAGAATCACAGTTAATGATGCATATAAACTTTTAGTGATCTTCTTTAAATATACATAGGAACAATGTCTCCTTTTCACAAAGGGCGCTAATTGTAATATCTAGGCCTAAAATGAAAATAAGCACTTTAAGGTGCTAAATCTAACATTTGAAGCCTCATGCTGCGCGTTCGGTTCCAACTTAAATTTAGCGCAGTTAAATCTACATGTAACCTAGCTCTACATCAAAAACACATCATGTTCATCTCCTACTAAAATCTCTTCAAAAACTGAAGAAATCTAGATTTGCCTTACTTTGTATATTTTTTTAGTTCTGAGAGATTTGTAATAGAGAGAAACTGAAACCAAAACGAATTATATACATTAGCTGCAACCCTTCACTGGATCCTAAAATATCTGAGAGCAGTCTCACACTGGATCGAGGGGACTCCCTCAGCCCCTATGGCATGAACCCGTTCACGACAGGATAACCATGTATATACTGGTATGTGGCATGCTTTGAGTTACTCAAACAGTATACTAGTCTTTCCGGGGACCGTTCAACAAAGCGGTCTCGCTACGTCAATCCTATGTTCTGTTTTGTTTTTTATAATTATAATATTTTTACAGTTTTTTGTTTTTTGTTTTGTTTTGTTTTTATTATTATAATATTTGTACAGTTTCGGTACTTTTGTCATTGAGTAGTCATTAAGTAGTCCAGCAAGTAAGGTTCTCCGTAACCATGACAACCTGTCAGGAAGACTACTGGATGATGAGGGGCTTCAGTTAATATTGAAATATCGAAAATCGAAACAAAATAAGGAGTAAACGAATCAGCCAACACAACGCATTTTTTGCTTACATTATTGTTATAGCTTACATTATATTTCAGATTGGCGGGCATATTTGTAATATACCTTTCACTTTTTCAGCATCACATTCATACAGGTTGTCATCAAACGGCATATACACGTATGACCAAACTAAACACCACTTGTGTTTCAGATAACATGACCCAAACAAGTATGGGTCCATGGGTACGGGTGTTTTTGTTGTTTGACACTTTTAAATACTGATGTAAGCTGCAATGTTTGTTTTTTCTTCAAATTTGTTGGCCAACATATCTACAGCAACGATGATATGTGGAAATGTCCGATGTTAAATATGGGGTTCTTGGTGACTGTTTCCAGATGTCGGAAAGCATTAAAGTGAAACAAATTGGGTCCGTTGTGTTATCTAAAAAAAATATTTTTTGGCCTAAGTTAATAAACAGACGCCAAACTTCTCCGGTTGAAAACATGACAGTAATGAAGCGCACGTAAACTGCCCATTTGCTACATGAAGCACTTTCGTTGTCACCATTTCTCTGAATAACGCAAAGTGATATGTTTATTGAGCATCTTTCTTTCATTTCTTTCTTTCTTTGTTGTTTAAAACCGCACTCAGCAATATTCCAGCTATATGTTTCTGAAGGTTTGTGTTAATAAAGTTACACTCGTGTGTTTTCCACTTTCTTTCATAATTACGTTCAATTATTAAAGTTTTTCCATTCTGTCGCTGACGTGTGCACAATGACGTCGCATGACGACTAGCTGAGCTCCGTCTCTTATACCAGTTGACGACGCGCATAGATTACCAGAAACCATATTATCACAATGGTGACATCACACAAAGTGGGTAAGAATGACGTCACAATAATCAACGACACACAATATGATGACGTCACAGTTAGCTTCCATGATACGCGATCGGCGAAGTGAAGTGTGCAGTGACACTACGCACAACTGCTGCGTAAATATTTACGTTATAGGAGGTAACCAGGCTGAACCATAAACAATGCAGGGCCGTGCTGAGTAAGTATTAATCACCATACCGTTCAGGTATTTAAAGATCAAACGGATTATCTTTGAACCCTTATAATCTTAACCGGATACATCATTGTCAAATAATAAAGAAGTGCAATTTGATTAAACGATCTGGGTTTTTTACCGTGGTATGAAGAAATATATAAACGGGGAGTCAAAAACAGTTACACGGGGTTTCAATGTAATTAGATATTGAAAGAACTGTTTTTAAATTTGATGATGTCTATTTAACCATCACTCATTTCTGCAACAGTTTTTAAAACAATAGACCCGTGAAGATTCCGGGATAGAATAGGTCTTCAGCAACCCATACTTGCCGTAAAATGCGACTATGCTTGTCGTAAAAGGCGACTAACGGGATCGGGTGGTCAGGCTCGCTGCCTTGGTTGATACATGTCATCGATCCCAATTGCGTGGATCGATGCTCATGATGTCAATCACTGGATTTTCTGGTCGATTATTTTACAAATCGCCGTCGTATAGCTGGAATATTGCTGAGTGCGGCGTTAAACAAAAAACAAACAAACAAATTTAAAACAATATTTCTATGAGTAATTTTCAGTTAAAACAAAGTTAGTCAATGAAGACTGGGGTGAGAAATGAATTTGCAACCACATGACCCCTGCCATGTTTAAAATGTTATAAATGTTTGCCGAAAAAGGTAAATTTATTGATTTTATTGATAAGATGTCTTAGATACCCATCAGCACTTGTGTAATGTGCGACTTTTCTTTTTCTTAATTTATAACATTTTTAGATCAAGTTATATTTAAAAAAAACCAAAACATTCTTTGAGTGCTGACAGCGCCAAAGATATAACAAATTAAGATAATACTCATGTAATTTGTTGTTTTTGGCACTTGTAAAAAGTAACATTGATAAGGACCATGGAATTATATTTCAATTTAAAAAGAAATATATTGAACGAAATGTGTAGACAAGTACTCATGTTGATTCATCTGACAGGGCGGTCATGAAATGAGAACATTTTCTTATAAAAAAGAACCCTTTACCATATACGGTTGAATCTGTCTAAACCGGACTAAATGTGTTTCCCTGCTGAGATACCGATATTATTATCCAAACACGAAAAATCTTAATATAATGTTCAACCTGGTTCGTCATTGCCTTTTAAATAAAAAAAATCTGGTTAGTGTGTTATATAATTATACATAACATTAGCACAGTACACGTTTTCATACGAACAAAATCTAATTTTTATCTTGTTTATCACGTCTAAAAGGTATCAATACGGTTTGAACAAAAGCTCCCTTGTGCATGTTGAGTAAAGCTGTCAATTGCTGTGTCGCGTTGCATGTTTAATCGAGGGGAGATTGACATTCGCATGGACAACGCGCGGAATAATACGACACCCAACAGAAGATAGATCGCGTTTACCGTTACACATGCTTTTAATATTGCGGTATCACAGCAGCTATCCCCCGTAGGGTGTTTGATTATATAATAAACCTCCCTTTTGTGAACACACGGGATTGTGATATTAATTCAGTTGTTCGTGTTGGAACAGGCGCCGGTCTTCGGATTTGGGGAACATCGGGCGGAAGTTACACGGTCGCAGTTTGCTGAGCGGTGGGTTATGTGGGGAGGCCAGGAAACGATTCATTACCCCAGCTGAGGAAAAACTACTGGACGCGTTGGTGACAGCGGAAAACACAACCATGCCACAAAATCCGTCATCGAAAAAGAAAAAAATCAGACCGAGTTCGGCCGCGGCCAATCTTCAAAGCCATCCAAGCTTTACTTCGGGGTTATATGGGAGTTCGGCCCGACCGTCTACAGCCCTCGGACATGACCGGGGGTTGTTCGGCCAACGCCCTGCTACCCAGGCAGGGGGACCCCGACGACCGTGGCAGTTTAAAGGACAGACAGAGACCCAGCCCGAGAAAGAGGTGGTCAAGCACGGTCGCCGATTGACCCTTGGGGCAGTGGACGGCATCGCCGAGTCGGACAACGTTACGAGGCCAGGACAAATTCACGGGTCTATCGCACAGCAGCTTAAAAATAAGGTGAGAAACGGTGTAAAATGGATATTTTATGTGCAATATGTGTTTCGCTGGGTGGTATTTAATTCAACCGCGATGTTAAAAGGTATGTTATTATTGTTGACTTGATGCTATGGTGTGAGCATGCGTGCGTGTTGCTATCAACTCGTGTCGTCTGCTTCATGTGCTTTAGTTGTGTTGTGTTCTTTAAATTACACCGTTGTCGTGTTTTCATTTGACAGTCTATTTGGCTGAGTTGTTCACATTCCCCTGAGTGTTTTCCTGCCTCGTTCATTATTTATTAACCAAGCTGCGTGTTTTTTGTATGTCGCGTGCACAGCCGAAACTAGACCTTCGTTCCCTATTCAATATGGCGTTTGTTGTAGCAACTCGGCGTCTTGCCCACTTCCGTATTTTGCTGGCTTGTGTTCCCAATCGCTCAGCCGTCCACTTAGAATGATCCGACGCCTACGTTGTGTGGCTCCGGCGTCAAGAAATTGATCTGCTTAGAAACTTAATCAGCAGGTAGTCGACAGCCAGTATATTGCCATTACAAATATTAACGGTCCATTGCACATGATTTCCAGGTCATTTCTGAAACAAAATAAAATATATTTATCTTCTTGTAAAACTTTTAAAAAATGATGAAATTGGCTAACAAAAAGAGTCGAGACATTTTTTACCGAGGGATGATAGCTCAAGCCGTCATCAATGGATTATTTGTTTTCCTCTTTTCAGGAGTGCAACTGGATATTTTAATGTGTTCAGAACACAGTGACACTGCGTTACACAGCCTGCTTTGTTGGTTATGCATGTAAAAAACACTTGAGTTTTATTGCCATTTTAAATTATTGTGCAAAGCAACAACGTTTGACATCAAAGGTGAAATATCATTTGGGAAAAAAGCCTTTTGAATAATGGCAGTTATGACCTGAAATATTACCATTGTTGTTGAGAACAGTATATTCATAATCTATGCCCTATTTTACGTCAGCAAGTAAACTTAAATTACAAGAGGCAGTATATATGATCTCATAAATACCTACTCAATATGACTAGTCTTATACTCAACACCCATTATAAATCAGTACAAGTGATTCATATTTAGAGATGTACAATAAATTCTGTGCTTAACAGTGACAGTCTCCAATTTTCAAGGATATTAACTTGAGATATAATTATATTATCCTCAATCATGTTGATACATTACACTGTTAAATAGTTTGTGTATTTATAGCTTGGTGACAGATTTTGAGAATTTTTAAGGGTATGAACACTGTATTTCAAATTTTGACAACAGTAGGAGGTTGGTTCTATTCCTCATCACTGAATTAGGATGGGGAGTGTGATATGTTGTTTATGACACATGTTCCATTACTTACGTAGCAAAATTTCAACTTTGTATACCTACACACAGGAAATATTGACTGTACAAAGTAGCATTTTTGGCAACAATTTTACATCATCAACAATGTTGTAAAACTGGAAGTGTTGAATTACCTGCATCATAATATAGGGAGGCACAATTCACTACTAATACATTGATGCATCAATAATATTCTGAGTTTATACGCTACATGTTTCATGTATCGATTCATACTTGAATACCATATTATTTCACGTATGGACCAAGGCCTGTGAAGATCCGGGTTAGGTCTTCAGCAACCCATGCTTGTCTTACAAGGTGACTAATGGAATCGGGTGGTCAGGCTCACTGACTCGCTTGTGGCGTGGATTGATACCGGTACTTAATTGATATCAATAACCAGATTGCCTGGTCCAGACTTGATTATTTACAGACTGCTGTCATATAGCCTGATTATTGCTGAGTGTGGTGTTGAACAGCAAACAGTCAAACACTAGCATATTTCGTGAACAGAAAAATTTCCATTTTATTTAATAATAGAAAAATACTGTCCTTGTGTTAACACGCAATTTTTATCTGAAATAAAGTATTGATTAAATGAGACATTTTTATTTTTCAAATATGAGACCAGACATTCAGGAAGTTTCAAGCCTTTTAGATAGTGTTTATGCCCTATGAAATAAAACTTTTTTGCAAAATTGCTGCAAATTAAGTTTCGCAATACATATCATATCTTGAACAAAGTATTGTGATACATATTGTTTCTGGAGATAATCTTATGACGTCACTATCATGACATGAGTTTTTAAGTAATGTATATAGGTTTAATGACAATATTCTTTATAAGAACTGGAATAAAATCTAAATATTGTCTCATGCATCATGACCATGATGACAGTTAGAGCAGATATATAGACATTAATATCATAATTCAGGTAATAAAATGAATAATCATCTCTTAATTTTCCATCTCACAAAATAAACCTTTTTCTGTTTATTTTTTCAGTTCAAGTAAATTAACAATTTGCATAGTTGTCTTTTTACTCTAAAGATAAACGGCATCTTCATTGTTGGTCTAAAACAAATTTTGAGTAAAGCGGCGGTTAGTTTGGCGTATGTCAAAGAAGGTGGCAATCCCCTTTAGTACACTGGATGCTGAGCCATGATACGTGGTATTCTGGATGCCACAGTACGCTGAATACCTTTAAATGTACGCGATACCCATATTAAGTGTTAAAATTCTTTTTTACATATTTTTTCTTGCGAAGAGTGATAAAGCAATAAAATAATTATCCCTAAGCTTTTGAGGATGCATGGTCGTGCATTCTTTCTGAAAATCCCAGTCTAATTTACATATTGAGTTTGTTTGACCCTGTTGACTGGTGAGTTTTCTGGAAGGCCAGGTTTTTTAACTACCCCACTGGTTCTGTTTGCTGGTAGATTGGCCGTGGACCAATAAACTTGAAAATGATTGCATGTTTTTGTAAACTCATTGTCTTGTTTCATTTCCTGACACAGGGGATTTCCTCCCACACTAGAGAAGTGGGTATGCATGAATCATGGGATGTCTAAAAAGAGATCAGGAAGGCTTTCACAATTATTTTTGAATCATGTTTTTTAAGAAAATATCTCATTTGAAACAGTTGGTTGGAATGTAAGGGTGAGATGGTTGAAGTTTAAGTGTGAGTGAGTGAGTGAGTTGGGTTTAACGCCGCTTTGAACATATTCTAGTTATATCACAGTGTGTGAGCTTAATGTGGGAAGAAAGCCTGAAGTGATGCAGGTGTCTGACATTTACCACATTGGTTAAACCAATCAGCATGGGAATGCTACTAACAGACCAAGAAACATAATCAGGGTGAACCGGGATTCGAATCCATGATTGTAGTTACTCTTGTTCCCAAGGGATGCAAATCTGCACAGCGAATTGCTGTGCTTTAGACTTTGTCACCCGTTCCCCCTGAAGTTTAAGACCCGGAAGTAAACCTTACATTATGTAAGGCGTTGTCTGTATTCATGTAGAGATTATTGTGCATAATGTTAAGCAACACATGACTTTCCACAACAGTGAGTGAGTGAGTGAGTGAGTGAGTGAGTGAGTTGGGTTTAACGCCGCTTTTAACAGTAGTCCAGTTATATCACGGCGTGTCAGCTTAATGTAGGAGAAAGCCCGAAGTGGTGCAGGTCTCAGACGTTTACCACTTTGGTGAAACCCATGAGCACAGGTATGGTGCTGACAAACCTAGAAACATAATCGGGGCGAACCGGGATTCGAACCCACAATCATAGGTCTCTGGCGTGCCCAAGGGACGCAACTCTGCACAGCGACGCGGCGCCTTAGACGACTGGGCCACCCGTGCCCCCTTTCCACAACAAATAAAAAAAGAAATATATGACTTTTCAAAATTGAAATTATTGCTAGTTCTATTGATAAGTTCAAACATGTTAACAGGTTGTTATTATACAGATTTTACACGATAAGGAGAGGGCAATTTGACCCTGTGAGTATTCTGGTCCTCAGGAACGAATGCTGGTTGTAAGAGGCAACCAAATGGAATAGGTGGTCAGGCTTGGTGACCTTTGTTAACTGTGTGGGCTGGTACCCTGACAGCATGGATCATTGCTCACAATATCAATCACTGGATTATCTGGTCCAGACTTAGTTATTTAAGGGCCGCCATCATGTTGCTGCTGCTGAGTGCAGTGTTAAACAAACAAACTTGTTTTGTGGATTTGGACAGTAAACATGGTAAATGCATGAGGCAAGAATAGTTACTAAGGCTTGGAGAACAGTTACTAAGAAACAGACTTAGATACATGTATTTTATTGAGAAACTTAAGAATTCAGATTTTAAACTTTAGTTCGAAAAATGATGTTTGAAAGTTATGCATGCTATTAAGTATATTTTAATCAATGATAATGACTTTCAGTTTCGGATTGTGCAAATATAGGAACATGTCATCTCTGTAATACAGATTAGAATATGTTCATGTTAATAAAAAGGTTGTGTTTCCAGTCAAACAAGGTTGAAGAAAAGAGTTTGGTAAGTTGAGAAATTTTATAAGGCTTATAGTGATTATCATTATTATCACATTATCAGCTTCAGTTTCTCGTTACAGTGACAAATGCATGCTTTTATGAGTTTACAAGTTTATTTTATTTGTTTAATGTTGTTTAGTAGGTCACTGTGTTCATTCAAATTGACAAAAAGGAGGGGACATATGTGGCACACAAGGGGCAAAAAATGGAGGTGGAGGGGTCATTTTATTGTCGCTGAATTTGATTTCTTTTGTGCTTAATGCACTTTCAAAAGTCATTAACTTCCTTTTTCGGTCAAAAAGCTACCAAAGAAATAAAGCCAGCCTCTAATCATGAAATTTGGCTTGCTGATCTCCAAATTCATGAATGTGAGAGTAAGCCTTCAACTTCCCATTGCAAGCTTTGCCGTCTTCTCCCTTACTTTTTTTCGGGTAAAAACTTAATTGCATCTTTATACGCTTGACACCACTTCTATTTTGTTGATGTTTCAACATGCAGATTTCAGATTTGCAAACAAGCAAACAAAACACTCACTCACTCACTCACTCAAAACCCACCCACTCACTCACTCACCCACTCACTCCACCTCTTGTTACAAGGGGTGGCTACAAAGAAAGTTATTTGTGCCAATATCTGCTTGAATGGGTGACAGTCAGGAAAGACCACATTTTTATTCATTGACTTTAAGTTTACTTTTCGAAACGGTTCACAACAGGACAAAAATATATTTCCAATGCTTATTTCTTTTGCTTATTTGCTTCAAATATTTTTTCTTCGAGTCTAGTTTTGCCTGTCGAATTTACAGTTACCAGTCTTCCATCAACAGTTGTAGCACATGTATAGACAGTTTAGAACCAGCTTCTTTTATTATTCTTCATCATAGATCATAACTAGTGATTTTCATATCACCGCACCCTGATGGTTGATATTGCTCGGACTCAATTATGCGTTAGTTGCTGTGATACAACTGGAAAATTGCCGACAACAGCCTATAACATGAAATACACAAAATTGTATAACCACTGTTGTTCAGTTAGGCTTAAGAGATAACAACAATGGTGTCTGACTGATTCTCTGAGACTGCTGTATACAGGCATGGTCCTACAGCCATTGTTAAGGTTCTGATCAACATAATTACCTGACATTGACATTATTAGTTTAATTAAGACGTAAATGATTGATGTGTTTCCAACTGACAAACACATTGTCATTTTGGGGCTATTCCTTTGGTAACAGTGTTACTAATTCAATCTGTGGCTAATGATTTTTAACTTTTGGGTTACCCAGTTTAGGATAACTTGACCGTCCTTCCTAACTTTGGACACAAACAGTCAGTAGCAATTCCTGACTTACCAATGCAGGAAAAACATGCACAAATTCTTTGTGTTCTTGTTCGATTTCAGAATGGAAACTATTTTGCCAATTTTTTTTTTAACTTCCAATCGACCTATCATTTTTTTTGTTCCGATGGAGGACAAATTTAGGATTTTCCCCCTTGGAAATTGGAGTCTTTGTATGGTTGTTATATTCTTACATTCAGAGGTATTCAAACATCGGATTCAATGGAATAATGTCAAACCATGTAAAAAAGGCGAAGCCATTTACAGAGCTCCAGATAACTTTTTGAGCAATTGAGTTTTTACTCTTGGGTTTCTATTTTAATTGGGTTATTACATTTTTCATTGGGTAACCAATATTTTTTCACTCATCCATTCATCACGTTATTGGGTTTTTCCCAAAATAAGTGAACATTTTAAGATTTAAAAAAAAATGAAATAATGTTTTAGATATATGTGACGGTTCTAAATATATAGGCTTGACTCAGAAAGTAAATTAGCTCATAATTGTGTTTCGGAAATTAGCTAGGTTGTACGCATGCTGAAAAAGCTTGAATGGGTATTTACGAGTGCTGTTTTTAATGCATGTGTTTCTGTTCGCAAGATAATTGAAAGTAATTGGGTTTTGAATATTTTGGGGGAATATTTTATGCAAATAAGCAGCTTATCTGTAGCTCTGTATTTAAGAATGGACTTTGTGTTTATGGAGGTATAAACGTAAAAAGCGGTGTGCATACTGCAAAGTGCCAAATATCATCCTCTGTAAATGCATGCTGAAAGTATTTATGAGCACAAGAATTGAAATCTAGTGATATTTAAAAAAAATCTATTACAGTTTTCGTTACTGATTACTTGATTGCAACAAATACCAATCAACCATTGACAAGATACATACATGGAAACAACACTTTTGGAAATAAAAACTTTCGGGAAGCCCACATTTAGTTTGGTTATGGAGCTGACAAGAAAAGGGCAACAACTGTTCCTGGCTTACGACGGGGGCATATAACTCTGCATACTGAATTGTTTCGCCTTTGGACCACGTGGCCACCAATGACCCAGCCAATAACAACATGGCCATGACAGTTATGTTGAACATCAGGATAGTTCCAATATTACTGTAATATCCAGATGTTTTTACAATGTTGTTTTTAATTGTAGGCATCACATTATTCTCACTAATTGTGTTCAGTATTGGGGAAACACCTGCTATTAGACATGCATTTCTATGGTAGCGTGTCCATCTGTCACAATTTGTATAAAGTGAATGATGAAATTGTACATGTGCCATTGGGCTTCCTACAGAAATTAACTGTATGCCCACCTTGGTGATTTCACTGTAGTAACTGTAAATTAGATAACTTTATGTAACAAAAGATACTCACTTCAGTATTGTCTCCATCAGCATTTCTGTGTATATCTAGTTGACAAAGATGTCTTTCGAATTAAAATATTTGGAGACCCTCCATGACATCCACTCTGTTGTTTACCGCTGGGAAATGTGGTACCAAAGAGCAAGGTTATCTAATTTTCTCTCCGTGTCTGAAGAATCAATAGTGATTGGCTGCATCTTATTGTGTTGGAGATCAACTGTCATGTTAATTATTCATGTATCTCATCCTCTGATTCCACACATGAGACCTCATTATAACTTATACCCACTGACCACCGATTTCAATGACCAGGACCAATGGGGCCAACTGACACTAGTCATTGTGTAAGGACAGCTTGGTTTCAATGGGAATGGTGTCATTCGTGTCCATTTGGTTGCATAAGAGGATGATTCCGTATCGCAGCGTTATTTTGAAACTGTCCTGGTTAATTGATGATGGGTGCTAATATGCAGCTAATTGTACAAGATAAGCGATGTAGGTGTTAATTTTTGCTGTGGTCGCATGGTAACAAGCAGATGTAGCAAGTCACCTACCATCAGTTCACCATTGTGGTCAACCAAGTGTAGAAAGATGCTTGTGGGATTCGCTAGACTTTATTGATAGAACAAAAACTTTATCTTCTGTCTGGTATTGACTGATGATCGGTTGAGAGACTTCAAAAGACAGACTCAGAGACCTATGTCTCCAGATACTCTGATGGTCAGTGAAGTGGAGAAGATGTCTTTGGGTTCAGGAACACATCCATACTTCTACTGCTAGAGTACAGTGAATATGGATAAGGCACGATATTTAGGGCTTGCGGCTGATTTTGTGAATGATACACAGATCAAGAACTGGGAGTTTTCAACTGCACCCAAATCCTCCATTTATGAGAAGAATATATCTTTCTGTGGAGATGCGGAAGAGAGAGCTGCTCGTCTAGCACTAGCAGAACGGATAAGGCTGGGTAGGAAACTGAACAAACATAGAACCAAGCGATGGGTAAGTGGCAACTGACAACGCCGTTGAGCTATATGGGTTACTAGAAAGCCCCCGTATAGATTACTAAACAAGTCCCTGTTAGATATTGTTTTTTAAAGTATGAGTTAAAATCGATATCTATTATGGATGAGTGTAATAATTTGTATATTACTCACTTTTGGGTTACTAGAAAGTCCCCGTATAGATTACTAAACAAGTCCCTGTTAGATATTGTTTTTTAAAGTATGAGTTAAAAATCGATATCTATCATGGATGAGTGTAATAATTTGTATATTACTCACTTTTAAGCTCAATGTTTAAGAAAGACATTGTTTGTTCATGGGTGGCATATGAATACAACATTCGTAGTTGATGATTCGACCATAGACCATTCTCTCAAGGTGCAACCTGGCAATGAAGTGTGCAGCTTTCTCCAAGTTTGATTTCAAGAAACGATAAAGATGCAGATTTTGTTCATAATGCCAGCATTTATATACACAAACAATACCAATTTGGAAACATCTACATTTTATGGAAAATCCAGCTTCAACTCGGTAAAGTGTAGGTCACAGAGGGGCACCCACATGAGGGAAAGCTGCACAATCTGTTCAATTTTGGAGCATGAAATATTCACAACACAAGATTGCACCAGTTGACATGAGAATGACATTTCTAATGATGTCATCTTGGTCAAAGGGGCACTACTCTCATTTACAACATGAAGTTCAAGATCGTAAGTAGAAGTGAGGATGAATGTTGTGATGATCTTTCGACATCTTGTTTTGTTTATTAGTGATGCTCTGAACCTATATAAAGCCTTGATGCTTGCACTACAATACAACAGTGAGAGTCTGTATATATACACTCTATATCAAATGGGACAGTGAGGAAGCCTCATGGTTTATGCTATTCCTCATCATGACGAAGACCCAGGTGTGATTCTCCATGTGGGTACAATGTGGGAAGCACATTTTTTATGTCCCCTGCCATGATATTGCTGGAATATTGCTAAAAGAGGCGTAAAACCATACGCACTCACCATATCAAATGTATTTGTTTACGAGTGCTGTGATAGGCAAGTACAAACACACAGAGATAAAGTTTTGCGATAATGTCTGTGCACTACTGGTTCTGTTTGGGTTTTTAAAAAAAAAATAGTAGTGTCTATCCAGAGTAGATTATCTGTCTAGGAGTTGAGTAGATGTTGCAGAGCACAGATAATAAACACTGTTTAATAAAGGTGTATTGTTATTTAATGGTGATATCTTCACGGGGGGCGTAATAAATCCAAGTGTGCAGTCTTTGGACAGTGG